ATATGAGCTAGTAGGCTAATCCCATCTTTTCCTTATATATATATATATATATATATAAGGCGGTGATCTCATGCAATGGTTGTGACATAGTATAATGCAACCATACTTCTATAAACTCATGTTTATGGTATTTGTATGATCCAAAATTTTGCACACATACTCTCTTCATCTCAATAATCAATCCCTAAAAAAAAAATGTTGAATTTGAGCTCTAGATATGGCCAAAATATGTCCCTTCCAACAACGAATCTAGACCATTCATTTGGTGAATTTCAAGATCTTAACCTTTACAAACTCAAAATCACCTTTTCTTTTTAAACATGGTTCATCTAATGATAATAAAGCCATCTAAAAAAATTGAAAAAGAAAAAATCCTTCTAAGGCCTAGATCTAACCATCTATCAAAATGGACGCCCTATGTTAACTGCATTTAAAATATTTTTAAAAATAATTAAAAAATATAAATTGATCAAAATACCCTCGAAACTTTTCGGAGGTCTTTTGATCAATTTATATTTTGTGATTTTTCTAAATATTTTTATTAGGTGTGCCTTGATGAGTATAATGTACGTTTAAATTTTTAAGTGATTTTAATTTGTAGAAATAAAATGCAAAATGAAAATATAAAATAAGATCATGACTATTAGATCGGCTCAGATTCAATATGGGCCATTGACTGATATTGAAGCAGTCAGCCCGTGGACATACCCCAAATTGTCTCTCCCTCCAGCCAGATGGACAACTCCACACTTCAAAATTTTAAAAAATAAAATAAAAAGGGTGGAGTTTTGAAATATCGAACTTTAAAATGCTGAGAGGCAAAATTGAAAAGTAAAAAAAAAAGGGGAGTGATGGTGGACCACCACATAAAATTTATTAAAATGTGGACCACCATGTAATAACCTTATTTAAATATGGTACATAAATAATATTCCTAAATAAAAAGAAAATCAACTAGGGGAAACGTTTCTATACTTCCGCTACAACATAGAAGATCTATGCTTCCTCTACCATCCAGCCATCCAATTTTGATCAAGTGAGCCACTCACCATTTAATATTAGATCCGACACTCTATAGTATTTTATTTTTAATTTTTTATACAAATTGTATGATTATGAAATTTAGTACGTGCCATCTTCTCATTGGGGCCTATCTATAAAAAATAATAAAAATAATTTTTTGATAAAATATAATAACCAAAATATCCCTTAAAATATTCAAGGGTATTTTGACTATTTTATTTTATTAGACTTTTTTTTTTAATATTTTTTACAAGTGAGAGTTTAATAGAGGATTAGATGCCTAAAACTTAGTATGAAAATAATTTATATAAAAAAATTAAAAATAAAATAGAGTAGAGACGTGACATTGTGATTAGGACAATTTTAACCCTCCATTCAGAATGGACGATTGGATAAGAGGAAACATATAAGTTTTATATTACAGGAAAAGCATAGAACGCTTGCCATTAATTAGCGTTTACACTTAGTAAACTTTGAGAACTGGACAAGCTACCCAAGAAAACTTTGAGAGCTGGACCTAGCACTCAGTAAACTTTGAGAGCCGGACAAGCTACCGAAGAAAGCTTTGAGAGCGCGACCTAGTCCTTGAAGTGTGATACTAATAAATTAACAGTAGATCAATTTATACGAATACCAAAGATAAACCTCAAACTCAACCTTCTACGTTTTCATTTATAATATCAAATGATACACAGTATGATAGGTTCGGAACAAGCAAGATCTATAATATATGGAAATACCACTAGATACCCCGAGTGGAAAAAAATCAACCGGTGCTGTTTTTTTTCATCTAATATTTTTGTGCTGCTTATGCTGTATTTTGTCGATCTAATCGCTCTTCTGATTTTGGAATGAATCAATACAGTAGAGAGAGAGAAGGGGGGAGGAGGTCAGAGAGTGAGTGTACTAATACTAAGAATAATTGAACTTTATGTTGCATGTTTTTTCTTTGAGATATACTTTGTATTGAGGATTCTTGCTTTTACTCCAATATATAGTGAGAGATTGGGAAGATGCTTCATGCCCTATTAAGAAAGAGAGAGAGAAAGAGATAACCTCCTTAAAGAACCAAGGTATCTAGGGACAAAATTTATGAGAGAGAGAGATAACCTCTTCAAACAGACAAGGCATATAAGGGGCTATGGATCTGCCCCTCAGAATCATCCACCCCTCCCTTGCTTTCTCAAAGTACAAGCATTCACCTATGCACTTGACATTATATAAATGGAGCCCAAAACATGTTCATTTCCAAAAAGAAAAGAAAAAAAGCATGGAAACCTCCATTCACTTTTTCATCACCCTTTTCTTCTTCATCTCTGCTCCTCTTCCCTTTGCTATGTCCGCACCATTCACAAATCTCTCTCTCTCATTCCCCATCTTCTACAACTCCTCCCAGCCTTCATCAATTCAACCACAAGGATCTGTTGGAACCTCCTTCACGTATAGGAAGGCTCTCTTTCTCTCAATAACCATAGGCACCCCACCTCAGACTCAACCAGTACTTCTCGACACCGGAAGCGAACTGTCGTGGTTGCTCCATAGCGTTTCCAGAACCTCAGCTTATAATCCTTCTCTCTCGTCTTCCTTCTCTTATCTTCGCTGCAAAAATCATCTATGCAAGGATTTTGATTCTGCCGTTTGCGGCCAAAGAAATAGGTGTGGCTATTCTTTCTCATATGCAGACGGAACGGTAGGGGAGGGAGAAATCGGTACAGAAGTCATGGCTCTCTCTAAAAACTTTGTGATCAATTCCCTGGTATTTGGTGTTCAGAAAATCTCATCAGACCCACTTCGAGGAATTCTTGGTCTCAACAGGGGCCAACTATCTTTCATCTCTCAATCCAAGGTCCCAAAATTCTCTTACTGCATTCCTAATCATGGCTCTGAAGGCACATTTTACATAGGAACGAACCCGAATTCGAACTCTTTTCGCTACACCAAGCTGCTGACCTCAAATGACAACTTGCCTTACTTCGACCACACTGCATACACACTGAATTTGCATGGAATCCGACTCGGCAAGAAGCGTTTGCCGCTGGAGAGATCGGTCTTCCAACCGGATCATACTGGGGCCGGGCAAACGATTATCGACTCCGGGACCCAATATTCTTACATGACAGGGACCATCTATGGAGCTCTCAAAACTGAGTTCATGTCTCAAAATGTGAAGTACGAGAGGTGGATCAAGAGTGGGTATGTGCATGAGGATGTCTTGGACTTATGCTATGAGATGAATGGAGGAGAGGTAGAGGGTTTCCTTAAGAGCATCAACCACTTATTTTTAGAATTTGGGGATGGAGTTGAAATGAAGTTAGGTGGACTAAACCTGTTGCATGAGGTTATGTCTGGGATTTGGTGCTTTACCTTTGGGAACTCGGATTATCTTGGTTCAGAGATTAACATAATTGGGAATCACCATCAACGTAACATGTGGGTGGAGTATGATGCTCAAAACTATCGCCTTGGCTTTGCTCCTGCACGTTGCTAGAGAAACAGGGAGATTTGTGAAAGTCATGGTGCAGTTTCTATGAAGTTAATTCCAATAAGTCAAGGTAAACTAAAAGAAAAAAAGAAAATAAATGAGAATTTCCACCAGTCCAAGCCTTATGAACCATTATGTGCGGTGTTTAATACTTATATTGTGCTTATACTATCAAATAAATAAATGAAATTTCGTATGAGATATCTTGGATGATGTGAAAGGAAAGTATATATTGTTTATTAGATTGATCGTTATCTCAATTTGGATGAACTATAAAGAATGGACTATGGAGTATGTTTGTCTGACTTAGATTTCATTTTCGATTTCGAATCACGAGTTTCTTTCCTTTTTTCTTTTAAATTGTC